ATAGTTCAATGGTTTTCAGTATATCCTCTGAGTTGAGCAATCATCACAAAAATCTAATTTTATAACATTTTTATTACCCCATAAAGAAATCTTGTACCCATTAACAGTCATTCTTCACCCAGTCCCCTCCTTCCTTCCTGGCTGGCTTGAATAACCACTAATTGAGTTTTTTCTGTATCTTTTTTTTCTAAGCATTACATATAAATGAAATTACACAATGTATAGTCTTTTGTGACTGGTTTAACCTAGCATAACATTTTTAAGGCTTAACAATGTCATAGCATGTATAAGCATTTTTGTCTTTTTTCTGTTGTTCTTTTTTTTTTTTTTTTTTTTTTTGATCTGTTCTGGAAGCTTTTTATCGTTGCTCCAAGTTTAAGAATTTTCACTGATGACAGAAAATCAACACTTAGACAACCTCCCGCATAGCCCTGCCCAGCTTCTGAATCTTGGTCTTGACAGACGTGCCAACATATTTCTCTCCAATGCGCACAGTCATTCCACCCGTGATTGACGGATCAGTCTTAGCCTCCAATTTCAATACTTGGCCTTGACTTATGAAGCTCTTGAGGACAGTTTTTAATTCAGAGAGTATGGCTTCTTCTAAAGGAGTTGCAGTGCTCACTGTGCAAGGTACCTCTCCGCGATGAACACTCATCATGGTAAAAAAGGCAGAAACGACTCCTTGGGTATTGCTTAAGCGACCATTTTCAGCAAGCACATTGATCCAGTTGGTGGTGACGGGAGAGAACCTCTCTTTTGCTGTGATGTCATTTAGGCTTTTCACTCTAACAGAACGCTTCACATAGGAATTCAAAACAGAAGCAGCCACTTTGGGTTCCTTCAGGATTTGTGCTACTCTCAACAACTCCTTTTCTACTTGCTCCAACTTACTCTGTTTTGATGCAGCAGAATAAAGAGCTGTGGCATAGCGACCTTCAATACTGTATACCTGAACAGGAGGCCGCACAAGCTTGGCAAATGGTCTGACAACAGAGGTACTGAAGCATCGCACCTGCCGGGAGAGCCCGGACACTGCTGGGGCGGCCATCTTCTCGCTGTTCTGATGTTCTTTTATAACAAAATTTTATAGATGCACAGTATTTTACATATTTATGGGTTACATGTGATATTTGGTTACATGGATAGAGTATGTAATGGTCAAGTCAGGATATTTGAGGTGTCCATCATTTTGAGTGTTTATCATTTCTATGTTTGGAACAATTTAAGTTATCTCCTCTATCTATTTTGAAATATACAATACATTGCAACTAACTATTTGAAATATACAATACATTGTAACTAACTATACTTAAACTTTTTATCTAGCTGTATGTTGGTACCTGTTAACACATCTCTTTTTATCCCTCTTCCCATTCACCCCACCTTCTCAGGCTCTAGTATCTATTATTCTACTCTACCTATATGAGACTTACTTTTTTAGCTCCCACATATGAGTGAGAATATGAGATTTGTCTTTCTGTACATGGGATATTTCAATTAACATAGTGATTCCAGTTTCACTATGTTGCTGCAAATAACATGATTTCATTCTTTTTATGGCTGAATAGTATTCCTTTGTATACACACACCATATTTCCTTTATTCATTCATCTGTTGATGGATACTGTTAGGTTGATGCCATATGTTTGCTAGTTTAGATAGTGCTGCAATAAACATGAGGAGGCAAGTATCCCTTTGATAAAATGATTTTCTTTGGTTAGACAGCCAGTAGTAGGACTGCTGGATGGTATTGTACTTCTATTTTCAATGCTTTGAAAAATTTCCATACTGTTTTTACATTCCCACCGACAGTACATAGGAGTTTCCTCTTTACCCACATCCTTGCCAGCATGTTATTATTATGTTTTATCTTTTTAATAAGAGCTATTTTAACTGGAGTAATATGATATCTCATTGCAGTTTTTATTTTTGCTCTTCTGATGATTAGTGATATTGAGCAATTTTTCATAAACCTGTTCTGTATTTGCATGTTTACTTTTGAGAATTATCTATTCATGTCCTTTGCCCATTTTTAATGAGATTAGTTGTTTCATTTTCTATTGCTGAGTTGTCTGGGTTTCTTATCTAGATATTAGTCCATGGTTGGATGAA